TTTGGACACTCATGAGGCAAAGGAATGTAGGGTGGTTTCTGTCATGTTTATGGCCCATTCTGTGACCAGAAGCTGTTCCTGCATTTCATTCAGCCTGGGCTGTTCCTTGGACATCATTAGATTTTTGATTCACTATTATTCCTTTCCAAATTTGATAATGCTTCCTATATCATGGGTCACCATTATTCATCTAGAAATTAGACGTAGGGCCCAAGTCCAGGGAAGCTCTGCTTGAGGCCCAATTTCAATAGGACTTCTAATATTTCCCGGGTGACTTGGAAACTACTAGGATATGGAGCAATACTTTCTTGATTAGCCATTAAGCCATATCACAATACAAAATATAAAACACAGAAGAGTAATAATGCCATATGTTAAAAACAGAAATGAATGAATGAATGAATCAAAATGCAAATCATATTTCCGTCTCACCCTACGATTTATCCCAATGAGTATAATGTGTGGCCCAAGATACTGAGCTCTCTCTTTCTTATACAATTGACATTCAAATAATGTATGCGTTACCCTACAATGCATGACCCATCTATATGTTATAAGCAAATAAAGGAACTTAACTCAACTGGACTGTTTCACCGTTGTTCTTGGGCTGGGCCTGCCATCAATCTTGCCAGACTCAGTCTATACTACTGCAACTAGCGTGTATACCCTGGAGGTTCTGGGGGGGCTATCATAAACCTCTTATGCTTCCCACGCTCCCCTTGCAGATTGGTCTCCTTTCCATTCCTGGAATGCACCCTCTACTTCCGGTTAGCTTTGCTGTCTGTTCCTAGCCACATCACCCTCCTCTTCCTAGATACATTCCATCACAAGATCCCAGGAGAAACATCAGAGTTTTTCTTCCAGAGGAGTACAGTGCTAGGAACAGCTGAGATACAGTGTAGAACCCTCAGATTCCAAGGCTTTAAGGCATGTACCTCCCATAGGGGTTAGAAGGGAAGTGTATGTGTGTGTGTGTATATGTGTGTGCGTATATATATATCGGCGGTATAGTATATTTGTTAGAGCACTGCCTTTGATGCAGGAGACCGGGATCCAAATCCCAGCTGGTACCGACCTTACCATGGGACGTGGTGGCGCAGATGTTTAATGACGCGGAAAGTTGCCAGCCAGAAATGGTTGACACTTCAGCTGTTCAAGCCTAGCTTCGTGCAGCAGAGCGAGCTCCTGCTTCCTCCCCCAGCTCCTGTCAACCCAGCAGCTCGAAAACTTACGTGAGTAGATAAAAGGTTACTCTCACTCCGGTGGGAGGAAAAATGCTGGCAGCGCCTTGCAAAAAGGAGGCAGAAGCAGTTGCTGGTAATGCGGAAGCTGCGCACACCCGAAAAAGGCGCAAAGCAATGAAAACACCGCCTCCCGCGCTCGCCAGCTGGGCTCTGCTCTAGGAAGAAGGCAATGGCAAACCACTTCCGAAACACCTTGCCTTGAAAACTGCAGGGACTCGTCCAGGTAGTCACTGCGGAATCAGTAATGATTGAGTGCAGATTAAAAAAAAACCTGATCTTACCAGTAGGGTTTTTGGGCAAACCCCCCTAACCCTTCACCTGCCTACAGCAAATATGTGAGTGACATGAACTAAGAGAGTCATGCCAGTTCAGATGTTGTCTAGATTAACAAGGTCCGTGTCAGATGTTGGGGAATCAGGACAATCTGATGATAAGTGGGCTTCTGGAAGAAACCATAGATGGATGAAACAAGAGAACATGTAATTGATGGAATGCTACTACAACAGTAGACCTAATGAGAGGGGATATATGGAACACATGAGTGAATTATGGATGGACAGAAGACCTATATCCACACTAATTGAGAAACAACCTGTTACCCAGTGCTTCAACATAGTGAAGAGGAAGCTGCTCTCACAACTTGAGATAGATCAACTACACATTACATCCTGGACTCAAGAAGACCCAGAAGAATC